TCTACCTTTCTCCCTCATTTCCCCCCTTCAATTAAGGCATAGAACAACCTCCCCCAAGTAGGGTTGGCTTGCCTCCATACATAAATTTACATGTTAAATCTTCGTTAGTGACGTTACCCATTTTCAGTACCTTGGCTCCGACCTGTCTACCACCACAGACATCGATGAAGAGATTTAACATCGGATCAAGCCTTTGGCAGACTCTGTTCCCATGTCTTCAGTTGTAGGGAGCTGAAATTATCTACAAAGTTGCACGTATATCGACCCAGTGGTCACATACAGGAGGCACCTCAAGGCACTTGAAAACTTTCACCAACGTAGTCTACGTTCCATCCTCCGAGTTCGCTGGGAAGGCAAGAGAACAAATGCCAGTATTCTCGCTGACATCAACTGTAGGAGCATCGAGGTCACCATTATCCATAAACAACTATGTTGGACTGGCCAAGTTACCCACATAGATGACAGTAGACTGCCAAAGCAGTTACTTTGCAGTCACCTAACGAATGGTAAACATAATGCTGCGGGCAACTGAAAAGGTATAAGGACAGTCTTAAGACAAACCTGAAAATATGCCAAATCGACCCCCTCACCTGGGAGACGATTACTCTACACTGTAATGCTTGGAGGAACACGACATGAGAAGGTGTCAATACTTTCGAATTAGCCCGACTGCATTCCGAGGCAGACAAGCGCCAACGTCGGAAAGACGCTGTCGCCGCCCCTCCCGCACTAGATATAGCCATTCACATGTGCAACTCAAGCGAACGACCCTGCCGGTCCTGCATCGGCCCCTTGAGTCACCTCAGAACTCACCAAGGAAGGTGATATCCCTTATAACTCATATCATTGTCTCATAGCTGAATGATCGTCATACTCGATTCCGAGTGACAGACTCGCGGAGGTGATCTCTGAACAGAAGTAGCAGCCCAGAAGTTTTGTTACAGCCTAGATGAGATGTCAACTGTCCTCCTCTCTCCTTCGGTCGGCTTTGCTCTGCCTCAGGGGAACGAGAGCTTCGGCTCCAATGCCGACAACAGCTGCAGATATTGACTATAAGGCTACAGTCACTGAATGCCGCATAGATCTGCGGCTAAACTAATTCAACACAGCTAGGATAGCTACTTATGTATTAGGATATTTAATATTAAGGTAATAAAATGGCGGCGAAGGTGTGGCTATTGGGGGAGGCTGGAGGCCACGTAAAAAAAAAAGTAGTACAGTAGCACGTCATGACTCCAAATTGATAGAGATTACAAGCAGGGCCGGCGCTACCCACTAGGCGAACTAGGCGATCGCCTAGGGCGCCAACATCTGGGGGCGCCACAAATTCAGGGCAAACTTGGATAAAATTAAAAATGAAGGGAAAACTGTGGTGGACACTGTGGTGGAGCCGTGGAGGGTCGGAGCAGGATGTTAGAAGGGTGGGGGGGTCGGAGGGAGGCGAGGGTAGGTAGACGGTAGCCGACTGTGTTTTCTTTTTTAATATTCGTTAACCCCCCGGAGGAACTAACCCGGGTCCTGTCCTTTAGCGGCCAGGAGAACTGTCGAGCAGTGACCTGAAGGCTGACATCTGAGGAACCCTTCTCCCAACCCCACCATCCCCTCCCCTCCCTTACTGCCAGGGCGGCTGAGCCGCCCCTTCCCTGCCTTTGTCGGGATGAGGCAAGGTTACCTGACCTCTGAAGTTTGACCTCGCATAACATAATCCCACTGAGACTGGCCAGCGGCCAGAGCCGCCAGCCGCCAGGCAAATAGTAACCTGGAACAACTTGATTAGTTGGAGATCAAGATTCAAGCTGTCCAGACTACTCACAGACACCAGTGACCAGGCCACTTCAGTCCGAGTCAGTCATCTCCAAAAGTGTGGTGCAGTGGCAACAACTTCAACAGCTGGCTATCCTGCTAAACAGTAAGTTGAAACTTGAAACTGTCTTATTATTTTTATAGTATGTAGTTATTTGATTTATCTTGTACTCTGTCTATAATGCTGTACACCTTAGCGAGTCTTTGTTTCAATCTTAGTGCTTCTCGTCATTTCGTCAAGTTTTATCATACGTGTGTTACGATGTGTACTAGTGGACGTATGTACTGCGTGAGTGTGTACTAGTGGACGTATGTACTGCGTGAGTGTGTACTAGTGGACGTATGTACTGCGTGAGTGTGTACTAGTGGACGTATGTACTGCGTGAGTGTGTACTAGTGGACGTATGTACTGCGTGAGTGTGTACTAGTGGACGTATGTACTGCGTGAGTGTGTACTAGTGGACGTATGTACTGCGTGAGTGTGTACTAGTGGACGTATGTACTGCGTGAGTGTGTACTAGTGATTGTATTTTTTTCAACAATAATTTGATATATGTTTTGTAGAATATATTTGGTTATGTATCCATTACAGTAAAAGCTAATCTCCAGTTTCACGATTGTCAACATTACAAATAATTGTCCACTAAATTTTTATTACAATAAAAGACTTATTTATTTATATACTTATTTGTTTGTCATATAATATCGTCTACAATAAGCTCCTATACAATGTAATTTCAACACATACACTAAATAAAATTCACCTAACAAATTAATATGTTTTATATAGGTAGTAATGGCGTACAATAGGAGCTCAAAACCAAATACCAAGAAACAAACCAAATGAATTAAAAAATTTTACATCATTAAATATAAAATGGGTGAACGCTTATTGTACACGACGTAAATGTAAATAATTTTTTAATGTGGCTTGGTCAGAGTTGCAATTATTTTTATTCATAACTGTTACATCTCTCCATTAAGCTTTTTCTATTTATACTTAAGAAGTCAATTTAATATATTGTCCGACCAATGACTGGTCACAACTCACAAGTATCCTATTTTGCACTACATGTATATAATAATGATGTAATAATAGTAGGTTATAACTCGCAGGAGGCTGGAGCGAGCTAAATGCTTATGTTATTATTTTTTAAAGATTACCCTAAAATAAAAAAAATAACTAAAAATTGTTTCATTGACATTTACGTCAAGGATTTATTGACTTAATGTAATAACAATAATTGGTTATTTGCATGGATGAAGTAATAAAGCCACAAGATGAAAATTATGTTATCAGTGGTGTTTGGAGAGTTAGAAACAATGTAGTCATGGGTTACTGTACACACATTAGCTTATCAAGGGGGCGCACATCTAAAGGCGCCAAATCATCTTGCACCGGCCCTGATTACAAGCAACCCAACTGTTACTCATGCAAGGATGACCCTCAGTTGACAAAGGTCTGGCGAATTACGAAAGTTGATTTACATAAACTAATTCAAGATTGATCTTGGAAGGAGAAAGTGGAAAATACGCATTGACAACTGTCTTCGAAGGCAGGTCTTACTGGGAGGGATCATGACTGTAAACATCGAATGGTAAAAAACACGTCTTCTCCTAGGGAATAGCTATCCAGCTACCCTCTCATGCAGTGGCGGCTCGTGAAAAATAAAATGGAGGGACTGCAAGCCTCACACAACAATAGGATACAAAAATTTGACCTACCTCAGGTATGAGTTGGCGTGTATATTCTTTGTTCCTGCTTGTACTGTTCTGTTGAATGGTGTAGGTCTTCCTCTTGCTTTGATTTCAGTCTTTTCATTTAATGTCAGCTGGGAAAAGTTGATGTTTTGCAGATACTTCACTCTATTTTCCATCGTCAAAGGGTAATTACACAAAGCACGAGTTAACCACACCGTCCACACGTTGTACCACACTGAGCTGCTTCAAGTGCGGCGGCGATAACAGTCATCAATCGTACAGCATTGACACCAACTATGAAAGTAACTTAAATTTTGGTCTGATTTTAATGAAAATTCACTTAGCAACGTATTGAAAATAATTAAATAACATATAAAATGATATATTTGTTGGTAGTGTATTATTGAGCTGTCTCTCTAAAGGAATCATACGCCTGGCAGTGAGTGTCTGGGGGGACTGCACGAGCCGCCACAGCTCTCATGTTTTGTAGTCGTGGAGTTTAATAAGAATCATTAGTTAAAACAGACTAGCAGTCAACGTGACCATGACAACTCTTACCTCTCACACCTTCTCTCCTCACACGCACCCTATTTCCTTACCTTCTCCTCTCATCTCACGCCTCTCACCCTCACCCCTCACTTCTCACCCCTTATTCCTCAAGATAGATAGATAGATACTCTCTTCTTCAGTTTACCATTAAATAAAATTCAAAGAAAACGATTTATTTTTATACTCCAACTCATGTAATCTTCACAGACGTATATACGAGAAGTATTGTTCATCATTTAGTAATTAACACAGTAAACTTTATTAAAATATTACTGAAAGACATCATTACAAAGTTCATTTATTCAATACGGCAAACTTTGAAGAACGATGTTTCTTTTTAATGAATGTGCTCATATAAGGAAAATATATGTATAATTCATGATAAGAGCCACCATATACACTACAAGTACTTCCTTGAGTTAACAAACACGTAAAATCGTACCAAAAACCTCAGAAAAAACCATAGTTAAGCTTGTTTCATATTATCAATCAATACCCACGCTAACAATATTATAACTTACCTGTTCCACCAGCATATATCTTATCTTCTGCTGCTTTTTTCTTTACACTAACACGTATTCACCGCCTTTAACACTTCACCCCAGGAATGGTTCTTTAATTTAATTGTACATCTAGTAGAGTCCAAACTTCCCTTAAATTATTGTTTGTCTTTTGGTCACTTCACACACAATACCGTATACTTCCTCCTCACTGAAATTAAGCCTAACTAAGACCATTAAATGTTAGTATATGTCTTTAAAATTTTTGGCGGTGAGAGTCTGACTAGTTAACAGCCAACTTTTAACTTTAACAATACATATTATAACCTCTTTTATCATTAATAGAAATTTATAAGTTATTTTTTTATTATTTTAAAATATTATGAAGGATTTTTATTACCAGATACATCATTATCAACTGAGAAAAAATATTCCTAAAAGCAAGTTATTAGTGTTATGAGAGACAGAGGAAGAGTTGTTAGTGTACACAGGCTGAGGAGGAAGGTGAGGAGCAACCATAAGAAGAACATGTCTCGTGATACATCTCCATCTCGTAGTAAAGAACTTAAGAAGACTAACAAGAGAAGGTATTGTAGATATATGTGAGGTCTGAAGCTTTTGTAGTTGAGGAACCACACCGGTCTTAGTTTAGAGTACACCCTTGGAGTTACCTTAATATAATGGTCATACACATATAGTAGACATTTTTAGGGCTCAAGTGATTTTGTTTCATCTGTAACGTGTCTGAGATGTAATTCAGAGTGTCAATACCATGTAGATCACCATGTATAGTACTGTGATACTGACAGCTAATTCCTCATTGAAGTTGCATCACTTTATTCTTATGCACTAGGAGTTAGGTTAGGTAGGTTAGGTTAGGTTAGGTAGGTTAGGTAGGTTAGGTTAGGTTAGGTTAGGTTTTTTAGTCTTTGAGGTTTTTACGTTGTTTGACCTTCCACCTTTTTTTCCAATATCTCAACTACTGCTCATTTCCAACGGCAATGAAGGTCATATTTATAATTAACACGTATGATTTACACTAGAAAAGCCTTTTTTCAATATTCAGTTGCCTGGTGTCATTTTGACCTAAACGGTTACTCAATGAATCAAGGTTAGGTCAGGAAAACTGTTGAAGAGTTATTTCCGTTGAGGTCCGTGTGTTGGGTTCGACCATTTGAGCCATGGACCAAAAATTTCTTGACATAATAATAGGCACAGAATACAGATATGGAAGCCGTTATGAGAAACGTCAATGTCTTTTGGTACGGCAGCTGTATGCTCATGCGTGGTAGGCAGAGTAGACAATGGTTTAGACAATTCTAAGACAAATTTCTTCTATAGCATTTCTTTCGCTCATGATAACTGTAAGAGAAAATAGCCATAAATTGTTGGGAAATCATTGTATTTTTTCTAAGTTCTTTGTTGGAAGTTGAAATTATATTTTTCCGATGGTAATTGTTGTGCTTTGAACGAATCTGACCTTCATTTCTACCACATATCACTACTTTTGAGTTACTTCCCTCCCTTGGGTGGGGGAAAATTCACAAAAAGTAGTAATTTGCAATAGAAATGATGGTCAGAACCATCCAAAACCTAACCTAGCCCTAAAACTAACCTAACTTAACCCAAAACTTAACCCTAAATCTAACCTATCCACCTGTGTGCTTACCTTAATTAGACTCCTCTTCTTAGACTTGAGGAGAATAACAATTCTTCTCGGACAGCACCAAAGGTGGTTTTCAGTTCGGTATCTGCAAGGCTTGTTACACCTTATGCAAGTAACTTCCAGAGGTAGAACACCGTGTTCGTGTAGAAATTTCCTTGCTTCTCCATCTTTACCGTAATAATCGATGTGAAATCTGTCGATGGTTTGGAAGTAATTGAAATCACAGCCATTGCATAAGGGAAACATCTTTGAAATAAACTCAAATTCAAGCGGGTGGCGACAGGGGTCTATACCGAGCTGTGATTGGTTGATCCAAAATCATACCCACCAATCAGCATCCAAAGAACAACTACGCATGTATCAGACTCTAGCACATGCGTAATGCAGCGTAATAACCAACAAACGAACACACAGGAGCTATACAAGAAAGTGTCTTGGAATTGTCTGAACTACTGATTCCAAAACTTAAAATCCTAAAATTCGTTGGATGACCGAAACGATAATAATACCCTAACCTAAGGTAAAGAAAACTGCTGTATTATTCATTTGCAACACATTGTATAGAATGATGAGATATATCTAATGCATGTATTAAAAACCTTAAAATCACTGAGAGTGCACTTGTCAAAATTTACTGAACTTTTATAGATTAGGAAAGGTTAGGTCAGGTTTTTATTTTTCATTTTTGGGGGGTTTTGTTTACCCCCACATTTTCCCTCATCTTCAAAGCCCTGCCCACCTTAGGGAAACCATTGTCGTTGATAGTCTAAGTGGTCATGTCTTCATTAATATCCTTCTCCCATGGAAACAAGTCATATTTGTTTATAGCAAAATTAATTCATGAGAATTTTTTTTTTTTTATATAATTTTCCCAATACAGCAGACTGGAAGATTACCAGAGGGAACAGTATTAAGGGGATTATAATTTACGAAGTGGATAGATACGGCAGCCGTATTGATGGACTGTAATGTTAGAGACACCTTGCAGGACACTCGCATGCTCCCTGTCCCAGCTGCAAACATGCCTCCAACTACCCACAGACAATCTTGGGTACATCCAGTGTGTCATCCGCAAATAATCGAAGGCTGCGAATTAAAAATCCGCAAATTGTAAGGACATGTTGTACACGCTACAACGAGAAGGCAATGTGGCGTCTCCAGGTGCAGGAAGATGATGAAAATCAGGCTGATGACTATAATCATGGTGGTGTTGAAGATGATAATAACAATAATGATGTTTGAATTACGTGCATATAAGCTACTGGTACTTACACCTGCCAACAAAAGTCTTGTGACCTTACCTGCCTCCTCATGAACACAGAGATTCAGGGACTTTTGTTGTTGAGTGTACATGCATCAACCATGTTATTATTGATAAGTATTACCGAAATGATGACGTATTTCTTTGATCACAACTGGCGCACTATCAGCTTGATAGGAATAATGTTGTGATTATTATATGGAAGATGTTTTAGTATGTTGGAGATACTATCTAGTGAGTAATGAGGACAAAATATAAACTGTGGAGTAATAAACTACTCATATACATTATCTCATTCTCTTGTTGAAATTTGTCCATAATAAACAATTCAAATTTGCTGAGTCAGCAAAATATAACTCTGTACAGTAATGTACATATGTGTTCTGAACAATGTAGATCATAAAATATCGGGTTCATCATAACAAAGCAACATATAAAAAGTCATACAATCTAATAAACAACATTTTTATATTGAAAGAACCAACAATATCATAGGACAAATGAGCTTTCTTAAAGGGGTGATGGCAGCCATCTTGAATTATTAAAATTGCCCAAGGGTGAGAACTCCACACCCACCTGGAACTGTTCGCTGAGACCCTATAGAAGAATAGTCAAAAGATAAAAAAAATATGAATTACTTTGAGGTTCAGGTCAAATATCCACTTTCACTGCCAGACTGTACGAAGTGATTCACAACACTGTCTTCCTCGATGACAATCCATAACACTCCACGTTAACAGGGACAAAGGTAAGTGACTGTCCGGAGAAGCTATAGCAGGTCACTAAATATATAAACAACACACAGTAGTCAGGCAAGGTGAGCTGTGCTTAAATATATCTTATTGTTGTTGGTTAAACTCCTTATAAATAATGATGACACTCTAATATAGCAGTGTGATCCTTGTTGTTCATGGGAGTTAGGTTCCAAGGAATGGCGTGAATAGGCAAAACCGTGAATAGCAACTTATACTACCTTAGTGCACCACTGTATACCTATACCAAACAACCAACTAGCCGCAGTAGCACTCATCCCCTCTTTTAACTAATCTAATAATTCAACTTTCTTTGTCAGGGTCATCACTGACTTCTGCCTTTTACATTTCACTCCTCTAGCATCACTAGCACTGACACTAGACAGTCTTTTAGGGTCCATATCACACAGTAACACTAAAGTTTTGAGAATACAACACGAGATGCTGCGTGGGGTGACTTGTTGTGGTGCAGGAAAAGGCTCGCAGACTAGCCACCATAATCACTATTTGTTTACCGCGATCGTCGAAATCACGAATGACAAGGGTCTACTGTAGGACCAAATTATTCATGGTATTATTACCTTTCATTAGTTCTGAGAGATATGTAGTCTTCTCAGTTCCAGAATAACTCACTTTGATTGTATTTTTTCAGATCAGTTTTGAGATCCAGTTCTGAGGAGAGTCAGCAAGCTAGACACTCACGATCAAGGTCATCCTCAAGACACAGGGAGCGCTGTGATCACAAGAAGAGTCATAGATCACGCTCGAGAGACAGAGGCAGACACAAGTCACGCTCCAGAGACAGACAGAAATCTCGCTCGAGAGACAGAGACAGACAAAAATCACGCTCTAGAGACAGAGACAGGCAGAGATCACGCTCTAGAGACAGACAAAAATCACGCTCTAGAGACAGAGACAGGCAGAGATCACGCTCTAGAGACAGACAAAAATCACGCTCTAGAGACAGAGACAGGCAGAGATCACGCTCTAGAGACAGACAGAATCACGCTCTAGAGACAGAGACAGGCAGATCACGCTCTAGAGACAAAGACAGGCAGAGATCACGCTCTAGAGACAGAGACAGACAAAGATCACGCTCTAGAGACAGAGACAGACAAAGATCACGCTCTAGAGACAAAGACAGGCAGAGATCACGCTCTAGAGACAGAGACAGACAAAGATCACGCTCTAGAGACAGAGACAGACAAAGATCACGCTCCAAAGACAGAGACAGGCAGAAATCTCGCTCGAGAGACAGACAAAAATCACGCTCTAGAGACAGACAAAAATCTCGCTCGAGAGACAGACAAAAATCACACTCAAGAGACAGACAAAAATCTCGCTCGAGAGACAGAGACAGAGACAGACACAAGTCACGCTCGAGAGACAGGCAAATGTCACATTCACAAGACAGAGAAAGAAAATGGTCAAAATCCCTAGAGAGCGGAAGACCAAAGCAACAGTCAAGATCAAGAGACATTGACAGTTTTAACCACAACAGAAACAGTCACAGGTCCAGGTCTAGTTCTGAGGAATCGACCTCCAAAAGTAGTTTATCAAAAACATCAAGTAAATACAAGACAAACACAGAGAAAGATCCCACCAGATTGAGGAAACCAATGACATCCTTGACCGGGAGTTCAGACGAGAGCTCAGAAGATGATACTAAGCTACTGCTGCGCCTTCATGATGAAAGAAAGAAAGTAAAAGAGGATAAAGTGAAGCAAAAGAAAGCAAAGAAACTCATGGAAACTCCGGCAGAAAAACGATTACGTCGACTTCAGAAAAAGGTACGTCTTTATCATTTCCCGTCCCTTTTGCTTTACCATTTTTAATTTTTTAATTGATAATTTATAATTAATCGCTCTACAGCATTAACTGGGTTTCACATAGCTTGCTTCCCCCACACAAACATATACAGTATAACCAGGGCATTACTCTGCTGTAAAATCGATTGGTCTTGCAGGAAGCTAAGGAGAGAAAACGGAAGGAGAAGATGGGCTGGGATAGTGAGTACCTCCACTTTACCAATGCAGACAACCCGTACGGTGATAATAATCTGCTGGATACATTTGTCTGGAAGAAGAAACTGGAAAAAGAAGGCCTCACAGACATCTCCAGGTATGAACTTATGAATGCATAGCAGCATATCAGTAGTACAATGTGATAATGCATGTCGTCTGCTTTATTAGTAATACTCTTAGTCAAAGAAGATGGACAGAAGCAGTAACTAAGCTTGACTGGAATGTATAGAGAATGTGCAGTACAGTAGGATCTCAAGTTTCACGACTAATTGGTACTGGTTTTAGCATTGAGAAATTTAAAATCGCGTAACGAGTGACATTGAAATACATGTAAATAAGCCAAATCGGTTCCGCAGTGTCACCCGAAACCCCCTTAAATGACCTACACCCCACCCAGAAAATGACATTACTGTAATGTATTAATACATATTTATATTGTACATATTGTTGATAATAATATTTATTTACACTCATACTGTAGAATAACTTACCTTGATGGAGTCAGTGAAATGCTTGACGGAGTTGGTTGATGGGTTCCGAGGCAGGGAGGGCTGGTTACTGCTTCCTCCCTGCTCCCTCCTTGACACCTCCTCTAACCTCAGCATCAAATCCCTCAAAGTCTTGAGGCAGCTCTTCCACCAGTAAGTCACCCAACACTTCAATATCATCTTCGGTGGTACCATCATCATCTCCTAAAGTCATGTTTGCCAAGGCATTAATAACAGGCTGGGCCTTGCACAAGTACTGAGTAATAAGGGCCTGCTGACGATCATTAACACGGGACATGTACATGGCCTTATATTCCTCCATGCCCTTATCAAGGACAGGGCAGATATGGTTCCGAGTGATGAGGCCTGGTATCGTATTTTTGTAGCTGCTCACTGAAAAGTGCAATGCTTGTGAGCACCTGCGTCAGCTGGCTTGTTGTAGGTTCACCAGGCTTAACGTCATCCTCTTGTGTTGGTTGCTGTTCTTCTTGTTCTTCGTCCTCCTCCAACATTTCTTTAATTGTCAGTTGCTGCTGATGATGTCCAATGATTTCTTGCAAATCTTCTACCTGTACATCCGAAAATCCCGGTGCTGGAACTGATTGCGCTGCCTCGACCATGTCCATTAGTGTTGCCGCCACGGACTGCCTCTCCCTGCTGGCCTCGGTCTGCTCTGCCCCATTTGCCTCGGAGTTATTGAACAAAGGCTTCCCTGCATGTAATACTGTTGCAACATTAATCTTACGCCATGCCTCAACAATTCTGTCCGCTGCATTTTTAACATTATATTTCTTCCCAAATTCACAAACGGATAACACTTCACGGTTGTGGGGTGGTGAGGTGCTAGGAGTCAGGTCGTCTACCATCTCCTCCGCCTCCTCCTCCTGGTTAGCTGGTGCTGGTAGAACCTGTTAGAGAGTTCTGCCTCGATTTGTTTAGCCCAACTAATGAGTCTGTCTGCTGACGAAAGTCTTTATGGAGTGACTGATAGTAGAACAGTTAACTCTTCTAATCTTGAAACATTCTCATCCAATGGCGGAAACAGCACCATGTGTGGCCTGTGTGGCAAGGCGGCTTCGACAGGGGGTGCCACCATGCTGGCTACCACCTACACTCCCACAGGGGTCATCGCAGGGGCATGAAATGGGAAATCCTCAGAAACAAGCCCCAAATCCTTGCAGGCAGCCAGAGAGAGGTAAAAGATCTTGGCTGATTAGACGAAATATACTCCTGCAGGGTTGACAAACCCCTCAGGCTGATGTGACGGGACGAAGCTCAGGTAGTTGACATAGATGTTGGCTATATCTCGCAGGCTGACCCAACTGTGTAACAGTGCAGAGAGCAGGGCAGGACCAGCCACACACCTGGATGCCTGTGTCGGCCACGGCCAAAGTGGGCAAGGGCTGCCCTCCCCCCCTGGCGGGAAACGGTAGTCTGTAGCTAGGGTTGCCGGGACAGGTGAGTGTCAGCTATCACCACCATCCCTGACACTTCAGAGGAAGCTGCAGCCTGGCTACCTGCAGGCTTTTTCCTGCTCCTACAACACTTTTTGAGGTGCCCCACCTTCTGGCAGCCGTGGCAGGTAACCAACTTCACAGGACTTGAGGCACTGTCTGGGACTGCGCCATGTACAGTGTCTGGGAGGAAGGAGAGTTTATTTTCTAGAGACCAAGGTACAACTGATTCCCATAGTGAGCATCTTGCCCTGAGCTGCCGGACAGCTTTCAAACATCTCTTACGGCAGCAGAGATGGAAAACTATAATGTAAAGTAATGCACATTATGGGACATCCCACTGATAGTCCTTATAAAATCATTCCTACAATTATTCTTTGTTGCTTATTTAGGTGTAAGTGAATTATTTGCCCCTTAAATTATTTTTATTTTTTTTATTAAAGGGAAGACATAGAAAAACAAAACCGAGCCAAGATGGACGAAAACAGAATGGAGCTGGAGAAGGTTAAGAAGCGTCGCCAGGAGAGAGAACTAGAGAGACTGGAGCGGGAGAAGATGATGGAGCTGGAGCAGCGGCAGAGAGAGGCAGCACAATTCTCACAGTTTTCAAAGCAGGAGGACCAGTTTCAGCTAGAACAAGCCAGGTCAGTCATCTTGTTATCAGATAAGTTGATCAGTGTGGGTAGTAAGTTTCAGAAGGTGTTTGTTTATGCAATAATGAGCAGCACACTCAGTTTTATGGGATTAATCTCTGCCACATAATTTGGGCATTATGTTAAGAATATTCCCACAATTTTCTGCATGTTGTTTGATTTACCAGGAACAGTTTTTATGTGCTATATACAGTATTCAGTTTCCCACAATGATGAACAATTAATATTGGCTTTAGAAGAGTGATATTAATTGTGGATTATATGGAAAATTTATATCTGAATTTATAAGTCATTGTAAACTCCCCTCCATACACCAAGATCCTTAGATGAAATTTTTTTTATTCCTCCAGTAACACTTGGCTCTCGTAAGACAACCTGTCATGTTGTCCTTCCTCTTTGATTTTAAATTAATTGCTGTCAGCTATCTTTTTTTTTTCAAACTCAAATAAACTTGTATGAATTCTGTGTCCCTTGTTTTGATTGACTTCATATTCTGTTTCTATTGAGTCCAAACCACTTCAGTAGTCCAAGTTCATTCCAGTACTTTATGTTTTGCCTGACAAACCCTTTCCTGCTTGAGTACAGGGAGGCCAGACTCAAGACCAGTAAACATTATACCTCATTCACTATCATTGATTTTTTCATTCATTGTCGCTCTCTTACCGGATGTCTTTAGCCATCAACATTATCCTAAATATTAACAACGAGTCATTTCATCACAGGCTCCGGTCATACATTCGAATTCAAGACGGACGAGCTAAGCCCATTGATCTTTTGGCTCAGTACGTGAGCTCAGAGGGTGACGTATCCGCTGTGGACATGCACGAGCCCTACACCCACCTGACGGGACTCACACTGATGGATCTAGAGGACCTACTGGAGGACATTAAAGTATACATGCAGCTGGAAAAAGAAGTGAGTTTATTGTCTGGTTGTGGAGACGTTGATCGTGTCTGAGGGGATGAGTCTGGGGCCAAGCCTTCAAAACTGATCAGTTGTCTAAGTGCAAAAAGTGACCAAATCAAGCCATCATGTATCAATTAATTTTAAAATATAAATTATAAAGTAAATTTATATAATTCAATGGCTTAGTAGTGCTGTTAATGTGTGTGCTGTGTAAGTGTCTTGGTGTGTCACCTCACCTACTGCCTCGTCACCTCACCCTTCACCTCGTTAGCGCAGCTCGGAGTTACATTGATTTATTATTTATTATTTCTCTTTTTTAGTTTTGTATAGTTCAGTATGGTCGGGATATATGGCGAGATAGTGTCGAAGGATGTTTGCCATGTACTAAATCTCAATATTTAATTAGGTACTGTACATGTAATCAATGGGGAAAATAGAGTTAGGTTCTGGAGGCCAATAAAGGTGACTAAACTTGACTTAACGAGTTTATTTTCTTACTAACTAAAGCACCAATGAACACTAGACTCGGGAACACCAGACTTTTTCAATATCAATATCAAGGAACACCAGACTTGGCAGCAGACGCACCATCCCGGGAACACCAGACTCGGCAGCAGACGCCACACTGTCACCCTCATTTGACAATCCCACACCTACATAACCAAACACCAAATATATTAGTTTCAGTATTAGATCTTTTCCATTAAGCTTTCCATTCTCTTCACTTCACTTTTCACGTCACTGGCAACCCATTTATGCTCACCTTAGAAGTCAGAATCTGCAGCAGAGTCGGCTGCTGACTCGTCACTGTATTTAAAAAAAAAATTTTTAAATATGTTTGATAAATTAAATCTTAAATTTAGTTTATAAAAAACATAATTTGTAAGACATTTGAATAGCAAAGAAAGTAATTCAGTGTGTACAAAATGTTTAATAATAGAAAAAGAGATATTTAATATTGGCAACTATTGGTTGCTGCACCAAATACACCCATTTTTTAGCACATTTATGTACTCAAGGACAATGGCCATCAGAAATGATGTGGGCCGTAGGTTGCCTACCACTGATCTATACACAAGACACACATTATATTGGCTCCAGTTGTCATTAACCAGACATATCCTCTCCTCAGGGTTTGAACCAAACATACTGGACTGACCTGACCATCATTGTACAAGATGAGTTACGGCGCCTGCGCCAGCGTGACACGATAGAAGACGCCACAACCCACCGTCAGGGCATTCACGCGGCCGTAGCAGCTGATGTCTCTTCTGTCTTCCAGAATAAATCTCTCTCTGAGCTCAATAAATTGCAATTAAATATTGAGTCCAAATTATCTGGACCTACGACTGGGCTTGACATTGGCTATTGGGAATCCTTACTGTCACAGTTGAAAGGTACGTAACAGACATCTTGCTGTAATGATGAATGCTCTCTAAGGATAAGCTTTCATAATTGTTTTTAGATTTGTTCATAATACATTAAGGTAGATAGTCTTTGCAACCCTGCCTTGCCACCTATTACCACCCTGTTGGTTGGTGGAAAGAAGGGCATCCAATCACAAAACTTTGCTTCAACATGCCTGATGGCAACTGGGTCACCAGAGTTGTGCCCATCCCCTGGTCTCTGCTGCATTATCTGGGCTCATGGTGGTGAGTGGTCAACAACGTAGTTATAGCTCACTGTCTCCGCACGTACACAGCCATGCTCTTCATTTTTCTTATTTTATAGTTTTTTTTTTTTTTTTTCTGAGCCTCACTTTAATACAGTATTTTATTTTATTTTTTCCTCAAACAATCATGGACAAGTGATAAACACGGTATTTGGGAACACTCATGAAACCATTGATTTTCAGAAGAAAAACTTAATAAATATAAAAAATTAGAAAAAATTGTGTAGTGAAAATAGACAGGAAAGATGTTTTGTGAGATAATATACAAACACTGCTTAAGAAAAGAAAATTTTAAAGGAATTTTATCACTGGTCTACATTCGAGCCGGTGCTGATCCATTATCGCACCATAACTGCAAATGAATCAGACCACGTAGCTCCCATTATAATTCAGTAAGTAGTTACAAGAGCTGTTAAAACAAAACCTCTGTATTGTAGTGCTTTACGTACGTATGATACCATATAAATTTCAGCAAAATTAAATAAAAAATATGGGAGTTATTAAAACCTTCGTTATTTGTCGGCCCGATTCACCCCAGGGGACGCTAAATTCGCTATACAGCAAGTCGCTGATTTACGTCATGATGCGTTCCCAAAAAAGCGACATTATCCTGAAAAACATTATTTAGACACTATATACCCTTGGCACATTTTGGTCACCCTTACCTTAATTTTTTCATTGAACTTCATGCAGTGGAGCCTCTCATTAACACAAACCAGAGCAAACTTCTAAGTTAACCCTCCTGGCCATGGACAGAAATCTCACCCCCTCGCAATCTTTCAATGCTAGTTGCATCAGTAACAGAAACAACACGACGGTATTGAGGTATTACTCACTGTCCACTGATTTACCTAGTGTGCAGTTTTCATGTAAGACAACTTTTAGCTGATCCATACAGGACAGTTACCCCAGTTCAATCCTGTTTCTTTCTTTGTTTTGTATTTGTTTTTGTTTATTTACTACTAGTTCTATATATTCTTGCTTGTGTATTTAGGTGAGTCATGAAAGCTTTTGTCTTTATTGTCAAAATATTTTCAACATGTGCCTCATAAGTTATGTGGTGTTGCAGCTCACCAAGCTCGGGCAAGACTCCGCGAGCGTCACCGAGACAACCTTAGAAAGAAGTTGGAGATGCTGAAGGCAGAACAGGGGGTGAAGGAGGAGGAAGAAAGACATGGAGAGAATGTTGAATTAAAAGTGGAGGTAGAAACAGAGTCAAGTGAGGAAAGCACAGACGAATCCAGGCCCGGCAAGGAGGAGGATGAGGATGGAGAGGAGAAACAAGAGGAGGTGGTGGAGGATGACAAGAAAGACAAAAGTGGTGATGAAGTAGAAGAGTAAGTATAGATGAGGCCATAGACCTTACATAGTGGAAGCAAGTTGTGTATGTGATAAGGGGTGGGGAGCTTCACTAACATCAACCTAATAAACAGATTCCTAGTGTTGAAGCATTCTGACAAGACAAATGTTTGATGATTATTTTTTACAAAATTACCACGAATTAATGATGATAAGGGTAACTGGTATTTATTTTCCCTCAAGACGGTTTTGGCCAATGGGATACTGTCATCACCCAAGCTGTTTTGTGTTGTTGCTGCTTTGGATCATTTGGAATTGATAATAATGCCTTTATTGAGGGTCATGGTTGGGGAACTCAACCTGTTCACTTTTAATCCTCTAATACTGTGACCACTTAACCATCATAGACTCTTGCCACACTCTCCCTCACTCACTGTCTTTTGTTAAGAAACAAGTATTCCTGAAACAATGTGCGAGTGAGTTCTCTCTTAACCAGATTTATTAACATGTGGTCACTTTGGCCAGTTGAGAATTTCCCTTATGCAAGAGAAATTGTCATTAAGCCAGTAATGGTAGTCCCTGCTGCCATATGGCATCACAAAAATTGTGACCAAGTCCCAGGTTGTTGATCTGACTTTCTGCCTCATTTACACAATTGCAGGGTCTCAATTGTTTCTCTTACTATTGACAACACAACATACATATATTGTATTATTATTATTTTATTTTTATTTTTGTTTTTTGTATTTTAAATTTTCCTTATCTGAATTATTATTATTATTATTATTATTATTATTATTATTATTACAGTAAGTCCAAAAATCTGGACTGCTTGGGGATTGGGTTGGTCCGGATTTTCGGATTTTCCGGATTCTCAGGCAGTACTTTTAAAATTCAAATTTAAGGAGGAATAAAGAAGAGATGAACAGGTACATTTTGAGAGTTTATTCATTAGCAAATATAGCATGCTTCATTTATCAAAACGAGCAGTTTTAAGGAAAAAGCTGTGAATTCTAGAATTTTATTCTTTGCCTCTTTTATATCATAAATTGTAGACTTTCCAATGTCGTATGTTTCCATTAGAACAGTATTGCTCACACCATGTTCTAGTTCCTTAATTATTTCAAGTTTGTCACTCAATTTCAACGTGTTCTTCTTTCTCTTCACACAACGAAGTTTATCTACTTTAGGAGCCATTATTATGGGTTTGTACAGTACAGTACTCTGTAAATGAAAAGAGTAGGACTCAAAATTACATACGTTGTCACAGTTTGATTGCTCGTTTTAAAGTGGCGACCGCGTGGTCACATGTTGTCGCTGTGCAGCTGTGGCACTCACGCATGCGCACATTCACACAAAAGCCCGCTAAAAAAAAAATCCTAAAAGTCCGGATTCTCGGGTGGTCCGGATTTCTGGCATCCGGATTTTTGGTCTTTTACTACTACTACTACTACTACTACATTTTTGCCCCCCAGGCCCCGATGTGGGTCAGTGCCCTGTGCCTGGGTGGGCTAAACCCCGTAAAAGCAATAAATAAATAAATAAAAATACTCATGCACTTTTCCATAATTATTTAAGCAACTGTCAAAATAAGTAAATGAAAAAAAATTATATATACTGAAATGATAAATAAAAATGAAATGAAGAATATATGAAGATAATTAAAGGAGAAATGTAAAGAAAGAAAGTGGAATGGAAGATATTACCTGTACAATACAGTTAATATTGTGCTGGTCAGTGGAGGCTCCTGTGATGGTTGATGGCAGACATCATCATGTGGGTCTGTAGGCACAGGATGGCACAGTCGTTGCCTGCTTGTTTTGTTTTTTATTTCTCAAAGTTTTCCACTATATTAAGCTTTTCCTTCAGGGTCACCTACTGTTTTGTCTTGCCTTTCTTCATCAAAGGATTGATTGGCACTCTAGGAATGGTTCACTGGTTATTTCATGCACAGGTTATGCCAAAAATTATTTGCCAAAGGTATGAGTATGAGACAAGAGACTAGGGTAGGGGAGAGTGGTCATGGGTTAAAGTGTGAGTAAGCCTCACCAGTCCACCCCAAATACCAGAATCAAAACTTTTCACAAATAACCGGAAATGAAAGAACATCTCAGAAAAAAAATGGATGGCTCTCCCAAATCCAGTTATTGGAGATTTATCATTAAGGGACCTCTGATTTGTGGAGAAATCTTTCTATTCATTTCCCAGTTAAAAATTTCTATTGTGTAAGTTTTCTAATGAACCCTTTTTCTTTTCTTTTTCTCCCACAGAAATGTAACAGAGAGATGGGACTTGGAATGTGAGGGTGATGCAGCTATTGCCACCTCAATATCAGCATATGTAGCAGGGCGATACTCTCCCCGCCTGGTGTCTGGGAATAAGTTAGAGCCTGGCACTGTCATAGTGGATGAAAGAGAAGATGAACAGAGACTAGCGTGGGCCCGGCAGCGAGTTGTTGGAGCAGGTCAGCCGGTAGAGAGTGTCTTATCTGCCGAGGAGAAGGTGATGCAGCGTGAAGCTCAACGGGCCATGGCCAAGTAAGTACTTCACTGATTAACTGTAAATAAGTGTACCTCTGGATATTGTGCTTTGCTGCTGTTTGTGCAGTACTGTATAATAATTTCAGATCTTTGGATTCTTCCTTCTTCAGAAATGAGACAATGAATGCCATTAGTATTTCACTGTAAAACCTCTACTTACACTCTGAACTCTGGCAACAAATATGGACATTTTACGGTTGTGGCAGTAATTTATACTGAACATAAATATGAATATGGAAGAGTAAATGGGAGTGAAATCTCTCTTTGACAGAAAGCAAAGACAATTTAATGTGAAGTGGTTGGGCAATATAGATATCCAGATTCACAGTTGTCTCACTTGTCAAATGTTTAGGATAAATGGAAGTACTTGATCATCCTCTGTTTCTTTTCTCATATACAGGGAGTATATACTTATTGTTTTTCATTAACTCATTTTGAAAAAACAAAATATTATGGCATGTGACTGTCCGTTAGTTTGTGTCTTGTCTGTATGTGTGGGTTCTGTGTTAGAAGAAATAACTTACCTATGACTAAAGACATAATGATGAAATTCAGCACAAATATGTGTCATCTCTAAACAAAGTGCAGAATAACAGAGTCAAGTCTGTTTATTAAAAGGTCAGCTTTTATTATCATTCATTTCATGAACATCCATACACAGAGTTGTAAAGTAACTAAATAAATTTACCTGATTACTGTTCTCAAGTAACATTTTTGGGTATTTACATTAGTGCTCTTACTTAAGTATGGTTTTCTAATACTTTTTCTCCAATACAATTGTAAAACAAAAATTGTTACTCGTTACATGCCCCAAGCAAAGAGTTTCAATGTCTGGCAAACTAATATATTTTTTTTTTAATTAATTAATTAATTATTAACCATAGTAAAAGAGTTGTGTGGGTGGAGGGTATGGTGTGGATTGAGCCATGAAGGGTACAGTGTGAGTGTGGGGAGACACCACGCTGTCTCATACCTAGAGGTCTCGTGAGGTGAGGTGACGTCAGGTAAGGTCAGTTGGCAGTGGCAATGACAGCGGACTTTCCCTTTGATCTTCTTGTTCCGTTAGCACCCTGAACACCCACCTCACCTAGCCTATACCCTCTTATCCTCCGTCCCCCATCGAATCCCCTCTCTTCTCCCCCACCTTTCCTTCAGGGACTTTGTCCTTCCGTTAAACGTCAGTTGCTCTTTGCATACAGGGGATCCCCGGGTTATGAACGAGTCTCGTTCCTGCAGACGGTTTTAAGTTGGAATGTACATAAGTTGGAACACATACCCTATGTGCACTATATCGTAGCCCAAGACCTCTTATACATCTTGAATCACTTAATTTAAGAGAAAAGAAGAAATTGAATGACAAAGTACAATACTGTAAAGGAAACTGGGGCTGGCTTGCATGTAGAGAGATGAGCTTTTGTAGGAGTGACAGAGGCTTTATTGGGATGAAACTGAAGATGGTGATGATAATGTAGATGTTAACAGGATTGGTTCTGGAGAATCTGGTGAGGTAGAAGGAACTGGTTCTGGAGTTGCTGGGAGTTGCTCTGTAGATGCTGCAGAGGTTGATGGAATTGGTTTTGGCTGCCTTTCGACTTTAAAAAAAAAAAACTTTTCAAGGGATGGTTGAACTGAAACTTTCTTTTCGTCATAAATCTCTCTGTAGCATCGTATACATTCAGTAATACCTCTGTGAATCTTGCTGTGTTGGGATCTGGCTGTTCAAATTTAAACAATCCTTCTTCAATAAGCCTGAAACCATCTGCCATGTCTTTTGTAATGAATTTCTTTGGTTCTGGAGTTTCAGATTCCTCAGCATCCTCTGACAAAATTTGCTTCTCCAGTTCAATCAGGTCCTCGGTGCATAATTCTTCAGTGTGAGACTCGAGAAACTGTGTGAAATCATCCTCATGAATATCAAGCTGGAGTTGGTTCCCAAGGTCTACCACTGTCTGTGTCACTTCCCCAACATCATTTTCAAAGCCCTTGAAATCATGGACAAACTGTGGGCAGAGTTTTTTTCCAAACACCATTCATATTGGTTTCTTTTACCTCAGCTCATGAATCTGCAACTTTTTCACAGCATCATAAATATTGTATGACTTTCAAAATTCTTTTAAAGTCTTACCCTCTTTTTGCTCTGTTGCCCTGATAGCTTTAGCAAGTGTCCCTCTCTGGTAATATGCTTTAAATGAAGCAATAACTCTCTGGGCCATCAGATGTAAAACAGGTGTTGTGTTTGGAGGGAAAAACACAACCTTAATGTTTGGATGAACATCATCTAAAAACGCAGGATGACCAGGTGCATTGTCAAGTACCAGTCAAATTTTAAAAGGTATTGACTTTGAAATACAATATCACTCCACTTCAGGCACAAAATGATTTGGATAACAGTCTTCAAAGAGGGGTAATGTCACCCAAACCTTCTTATTAGCTTTCCTGAAACTGGAAATGCCGCCTTGAAAACCCCCTTCAAAGCTCTAGGATTTTCTGACTGGTAGACAAGCAGAGGTTTTAGTTTTTAGTCCCCAGCAGTAAGGTCAGCCTCTCCTTGGCTGCTTTATGACCTGGTATTGTTTTTTCATGTTTTGAAAGGTACATGCATTTGGGCATCCTTTTCCAAAATAAACCAGTCTCATCAATATTAAAAACCTGCTCAGCACAATAGCCCCCTTCAATTATTTTAGCTAAAGCAGCAGGAAATTAACATGCTGCAGCCTCATCTACACTGTTGGCTGCTTCACCTTGTACTTTAATGTTATGTAAGTTTGCCCTTGACTTGAACTGGTTAAACCAGTCCCTCTTACCAACAAAATCTTCCCCATCACTTTCACCACCACATTTAGCCTTCAAGTCAGCTTGCAAGCTTTTTTATTTTTCCTGAATCAAGGCTAGACTAAGAGGCAAATGCCGTTGATTCTGATCTTCCACCCATATCATTATCAATCTTTACATTTCAATTAACAATCCACTTCTTTGTTTTGTTATCACAGTTGACTGCATTGGTGTAGATCCTTTGACATGTTCAAGAATTTTCTCTGTCTTTCAAAATTGTTCTGGCCATTGACTGACTGAAGCCCAACGCTTTACCAATAACTGAGGGTGTTTGGCCTTTTTCATAACGTTTAATTACATCAACTTTCACTTCCATTGTAATTGTTTTCCTTTTCTTGGACGCACTACTATTACTTGCATCAGGTTTTCATATGGGAGCCATGATGAGGGCAGGTAGCGATGTGTCCTCCTAATATTACGTATTTAAATAATTATTAAATATTTTAATTGCCTGTATGTTGGCCTGGCGATTTAATGCAAGGCATATACATACTTAGGTATAAAGCTAGACGTCGCATTCTGGACTTTATCACAAAAACTGGTTTTTAGAAGAAAAAATTATTTTTTGGGCTTAAATGTCCTTTAAATCCGTGGATAGACTCAATTTATTCTTCTTCCTCAGCGATGAAGCGCAGTTCAGTGTAGAAGCCAAGCTGGACACTCAACACTTCCTCTGGTCGGACAAGTATCGGCCTCGCAAACCCCGCTACTTCAACCGCGTCCACACAGGATTTGAATGGAACAAGTATAATCAGACTCACTACGACATGGACAATCCTCCTCCCAAGATAGTCCAGGGGTACAAGTTTAATATCTTCTACCCGGATCTTATTGACAAATCCAAGACGCCGCAGTATGAGCTCATTCCCTGTGATGACAACAAAGATTTTGCCATACTCAAGTTCACAGCAGGACCTCCGTATGAAGCTATCGCGTTTAAGATTGTGAATCGTGAGTGGGAGTATTCTTATAAGAGAGGTTTTAGGTGTCAGTTTCATAATAACATCTTCCAGCTGTGGTTCCACTTTAAGCGGTATCGGTACAGGAGATAAATTATTCCTGCATTATTATGTTTCTTCACATTCAGGTTTTTTAGTACCTGACAAATCTACTAATTTTATGATAATTATTGGAATTATGACTGTTGCTTCTTTCATAGTGAATTGTAACAACTTAATTATCTTGAGGGTGAAGAGAATAATTTTTAATTTAAAAGGGTGAATATACAGTATACAGGTGCTCCTCTAATTAAGAACGTTCAACTTACAAACATCATCACTGAGGGGGGTTACCTGCCAGAACAGGTGTTTAATGTGGATGAGACTGGATTATTTTGAAGAAAATTCCAGATAGAACAAACATTACCTAAGAGGAGAAGAGTGAGCCAGGTTTTAAGTCTGTATTAAAGGGTATAGCTGTACTAAATATCTATAATCTTTTCATTTTTTACAATATGTATGGTATCTTCAAGGGTATAGTTGGACTTACAAACAATTGGACTTACAAACAAGCATTAGGAACGTAACTCGTTCGTAAGTAGAGGAGCACCTGTGCAAGGAATACTTAACTAAAATTTTTTGTTATTGTTCACAATAGACTCAGAACATTATATCATGTTTACAATAACTTGATGACTGTACAAAAAGTTAGTTAAGTGTGTTTGCATAATGGATGCTTTGTGCAGGTTTAGAGTTCAATTTAGTAATGTGTACGGTATAATACATTTTGGCTAAGCAACAACTGCCAGGTAGTATTTACCAATGTACTGTAATAAGATTTTTATAGTTACTTTCATAGATTTTTTATTTTCCTCATGAACAGAGATTGTGCAGGTAATGTTTGTTCTTTCTGTATTTTACATGCTTCAGCTGCCAGGGTTATTGAGCATTGTGTTCATCATCATCATTTTACAGCCCGTGCCACACTTGCTTGGGTTAGCCATTGTTACCTGATGGCAGTTCTCCGTGCTTCATGGTGTCTTGCAGCCTCTTTTGTCAGGTTCTTAACTCTTAGTTTGGCAGTCAAGGAGTGGAACTGTGAAATCTTGGTAATATAAATATTTATGCGTGATCTGCACTTACCTGTATGATGACCTCAGGAATGGAAATCTGAGTCATGCCTTGCTGGATTCCTAGAGAATTTTTTACTACTGTATACAGAAATACCCTGGTTATTGCAAAGGGTGCATTCCTAAAAGTCATTGCAAATATCAGGACAATTTTCCCTAAGAATTAATGTAAATCGTGGGGATGCATTTCCAGCTGGCAACTTCCACCACATATTTTTCGATAAACAGGTAAACTTTTAATTGCGATGGGGTTAGGTTCCTGGAAACCCAATTACAAATCAAGATTTCATAAATCAGGTTCATTATATCATGGGGTTCAATGGGATTGGTTCCTGGCCAGTCTGACACCCATACTTTATGTATCACCAAGATAAAAAAGAATCCTAGAATACTACTAGCACAACAACACAATTAAACAACACTCACCACATCATCATTAAGAAGTCTAGTCGTCATCATCACCTGTCTCCTTTAAGGCTAAGGGGGCTCTTAAGGTGGAGTGGAGACATCAACTGAGTCCCACACAGACTCCGGGGAGTCTGAAGAGTGGAGACTGGTGGTGTAACCTTCGTCCTGCCCTTAAAGATAGTGAGGTTGCAATGAAGGTGTGGTACAGGATTAGTGGGTCATGTTACTGACCTGACCTGATCAGTGTCAGGTGGAGATGGGGTGGGGTGATCTCATGCAATATCAGGGTTGGGTATAAACTTTTATTCACAACATATGCACTAATTGTGTTAGAGAAGTGAGTGAGAGGCAGTAGTGGGTGAGAGAGGACAGACCCCTCAAGAATGTGGTCAGTTGGGGGAGTAAGGGTTGCTCTGTCCCTCCCTCATTACCAGGGCCGGATTTACCTACTTGTGGGCCCCAGGCCAAACTCATCAGTGGACCCCATACTCCGGTCCCTATACTTATTGTACAGGGGCCCTAATGGTTGTGAATATATTATATAATGAAATACTCGGTGTACACTTGAAACAAGGTTATACGCTGACATGCTGCGTGACAAATTAGTTTCAGTGGGCCCCCAGATACCGGTGGGCCCTAGGCCAATGGCCTACTTGGCCTATTGGTAAATCCGGCCCTGCTCATTACCACCTCCTAACCCTAATGAACAGTATCTGTACTAATCATGTTAGAGAGATGAATTTGATACCATAATGATCCTAAATAAATTCTCTACAAGACTCTCTGAATAAAAGATCTTTAGGCAAAATACTTCAAGACGATATAATGATGGGGACTCTTAATTCTTTTATGAAAAACTTACAAGAAATGTTGATACTGGAGTCTATGAAATCAGTTCTACAGTAATTAAGTTCGAAACACCAATTTTTTCTAAAGTAATCCTGAATAATTTATTTAAAAGTTTGGTTGAAAAAATATATTTAAGAAAACTAAAAACCTACATGATACGAGCGTGCGAGGCGCCTCATGAATGGAGCTGTGTGTCTGTCCTAGGCAGAATTTTCCACCTTGGGAAACTATTTCTGGAGAGTCTAAGCACACATCTTACATGGACAGACACAAGAACTGTCTGTACTGTATTTATTTACACAAACAAAATAATGTATATTACTACTGTTGTCTTGAGCCTACAGTAGGAGTATACTGTCTGATCTGCCGAATGTAATACGTAACTGTAATAACTTTACGTGTTTCAACACTTGTGATGGAGGTGTGGTAGGAGATTAGTGGGTCTCATGTTAGTGACCCATTGTATATAAACTCTTCTATCATTTGCAGTGGAGGAGGGTGAAGGGATTGGTGGTCTCATTACTGACCTGATGCAATGTCAAGTCACCCATTGTCGGGTTGGGGATCAGAGCAAAAGCACTTTATAGTTAGAGAGAGAACTTCACAGTCACTAATACAGAGTGCAATGTGAACTTTAGTGATGTCCTCGCACTGTAAGGTAAAAAAACAACACCTATGATGACCAATATACTTTACGCTCCATTTCTTAACCAAGAAGAAATAATGGCTGGACTGTAATTCACCAGATGGCAATTGGCATTTGGGTAGATGACACCTCAGCTGGCAAATGAATGTGAGTGATGTGTTCCATATGCCAGCCTGGCAAGGTGGCGGGAGGACGAATATCATTAACGCGAGTTTGTTTGCATCACATTTAGGGAAGTGGTCCTTATTTATCAGCATCTTTAACGCAAATTATCATAGTTTGGGACATCGTGAATAGAGGTTTACCTGTACATTCTCCATTATCCAAGGCTCTTAGGGACCAGGGTCACATGTAAACTGTAGTACAGTTCCAATAAATGTGAAGAATAAATAAAAATTATACTAATAAGTAAAATAAAAGAAAAAATACCACATTGCCAGTTGGCAATACCTTCTTTACACACAGGAGGCTGGAGCAGCAGAGATCTCTAACATTACTCTCCCCTCTTACAATCTGTGGGTTAACTACCATGCATGTAAGAAATGTTTATTCCCTTTATGTTTTTGACCTTATGAAAATCATTTATTTTTACAGTATTATTATTTTTTTTTTTTGCACATTCTGTATGGATGATTGTGTGTGTGCGTGTAACAGAGTAAAAGAAAATGAAGAAAATTACACATTTACCTAAATACAGTTAACCCTCACTTTACGCGGTCCCGCATTCCGCGTTTCCACGTTTACGCGGTGCCCTGCCGGAACCCAGGATGCTCACATTCCGCGGTGCGTGTACCCCTTTACGCGGAGAGCGGCTGGCGAGCCGCGCCATTTTTGGATCCAAACCTCCCGCCATCCGCCATGTTGTGTAAGCTGCGCGAACATGGTGCGCACAAGGTCACCCAGTCATCAAAACATTACCAGTTCTTCACCCGCCACCCACCACAGCCGGCCCAAGTCAGTGATAGTGATAATTATGGTGAGGATATGGACTTATATGGACTTTGGGGAGTTTGACAAAGAGGCCCTGCAAGCCTCTGTGGTGGATAGTGATACAATTGATACAAGTGACACAGGTGAGGGCCAATAATCTGCCCTCTGCCTCGGAACCAACCGCCCATCCCCGTGTGCCCAGCCATTTTTCTACTAATGTAAGTGTTAAAAAACCTAATATTATTGATATTTCTCTTAATTATTAATTGTGTGTGCATACCATCATAAAGTTAAGATAATATTTTTACTACAACATAGTTGTGTGTCGTCAAAAAGTGGAGTTTGGGCATCGGCCCGGACTCCATTTCAATTAATCCCATATGTTATGTTATTCACTTTACGCGTTTCTCACTTTACGCGGGACCCTCCGGGTTACATTAACCGCGTAAAGTGAGGGTTAACTGTATACGGTTTGAAAAATAACAATAACGCGGCTCACAGCTTGGCCTGGTAGGGGAAGGCTGAGATCCACAACACTGCACCCCTTCCCTCTCTTCCCTTCCTCTCCCATGATCTGTCCACCAACTCTCATGGACGTAAGAAATGTTTATTCTTTTATGATAATTTATTTATTTATTTTTTATTTTTTGCACATTCTGTATAAACGATTGTGTGTGCATGAAACAAAGTAAAAAAAATACAAATAAATAAAATGACGTATATTTACCCAAAAATACAAGTTGAACAGTAACAATAGCACAGATTGGCCTGGTAGGCTGATGTAGCTACAGGGACAATCTAATTTTGCAACATGCCAAGTCCACTCATATGTTCACTTAATACACCTTTGCTCTTCATATTTAATTTCTTATTTAATAGTAACATATTTTTATATATATATACAGGTAGCAGGGGCACACCCAAAAATATGGGTAGGGGGGTTTCCAAATATTTGAGCTGGGTGAGGAGCCAACATGGTAAACAACAGCTCACTAATGCTAGAGAAACAGTTCTAACTAGAGGGGTTCTGGGGCATATTTAATTTGCACAAACATAAAATACATGAATTTATTGAGCTGAATATATAAATAAATACTATGTACATATAACACATTTTTATTATTTTGCATCCTAATGGCTATAATATATAGATAAAGAGATCAAATCTGTTTTAAATATTGTATTTATTGTGCTAAATGTACATATAAATACTGTAGTGTAACACATTTTTATAATTTAGCATCATAATGTTTTTATAAACCGGAGTATAGACTAATATCAAAGAATAATAAAGGTCATATTTTTTAAATATAATTTTACACTGTTCTTCAAGTACCCTGTATTTTTATAATTTCATCTTCCTGGGATATCTATGTGTAAATGTGTCAATTTCTTCGTTTATGTCCACTGTTATATTTCGGTGCCTGTGCAGTAGTAT